GCTATGGTAGTCAAAGTGTTGCCAAACTGCATTAATCTTACAATATAGATGCAGACTCCATCTGCCTGAGGTGGCAATTTTCTTCTTTTTCATGACACTTGTCCTTTTCCTCACGTTTGCACTGTCTCCTCACAAATAAGGACAATGTGAGGTCCCTGAGGGCATCTTGCTCAAGAGCAGTGGACACTCAATGTTGTCCTCTGAGTTTCTTTTTAAAAACTTGTTGACACTTTGTTGAGAAATGCCTTATTGATTGTGGAAGGAAGTGACAGGATCCTCTCACAGAATGAACCCTTTCCCCCTATTTCGGGATCTGTGTGTGTCCTGACACATTTCATGTTGAAACACGTGCCCATTCTAAGGAGAAAGAAATCTCTATCATATATATCATGTGTCTGTTTCTCTATCTCTCTCTTATCTCTATTTCTCTATCATAGACAATCTCTCTCATATCTATCATATCTATCTACCATCTCTGTTTATCCTATCTCTCTCTATCTATCTANCCCCCCCAAATAAAAATCCTGGCTATGGGCCTGCCTATGGATAAATTGATCCAGGTTTTTGGACAAACATTGTGATTAAAATTTCCATTAGAACAAAGTAAGTGTGTTCAAAATGGCAGAAATCTATTCTGTTTTCATTCCGTTTTGTTTCCGGGAKATTAGGAGAGAGGTTTCTCAAATTCATAATTCTGGATCAAGAGTTCTGTTTCAGTTTTGGGAAGAATCTTCCCAAAAACAGAAGGGGGGGGGGAGGTGGGGGTATCCAAAATTTGAAATGAAAAAAAATGAAAACAGAACAAAAAGCAGAATGAAATTCTTTTGTTTTGCACACCCCTAGAATAATCATGTATGTGCTAGACAAGTTGCAAGAACATAAAAGGCTGTATTGATGAGTAACTGGTATTCTGATCATTGTCCATAAGACAGGGTGAGCACTTCATGATTCATTATCATGGGCTAAATATATCCTTCAGACATCCTAAAACATCAAGAACTCCAGCATATCAATTTGGAGAAATAAGACATTGGATTACTTAACCATAGCATGCAATTGAATAGTAGGAGGTTGGGAAGAGGCAGTGTGAGTTTTAGAGAAAGGAACAGAGCAGTGACAGTCATTTGAGTAGACAGTGAGAAAACATGGATTGAGGACAGAAAAGCAATATATGGGTGGGGTGCAAGAAAATTTGTGATTTGGTGTAATTTTCCTATGGCTACAGCCCCATGCATATTTATTAAGGTTATTCATCTCTATTTTTATCTCATGTGCAAAGATGAGTAAGTTTTATACTTTTCTGTCAACTGCAGTACCAAAATGAATCTATACCTTTTTCATGAAGAGTTTTGCAAAATTATCTCTCTCTCTCTCTCTCTCTCTCTCTCTATCATCGATCACCCATCTATCATCTATCTATCTATCTATCTATCTATCTATCTATCTATCTATCTATCTATCTATCTATTATCTATCTATCTCTATCTATCTCTATCTATCTATCTATCTATCTATCTATCTTTCTATCTATATCTATCTATCTATCTATCTATCTATCTATCTATCTATCTATCTATCTATCTATCCTTCTGCATAAATACAGACTTTCTAGAGGTGTTTATTGTGCAGAATCATACTTTTGTATAAAGCACTGTGTGTTTCTGTGTGTTTTTGTGCACAAAAACATGTATTTCTGGAAACAGTGTTTTTCAGGGAAAGCAATGGCTGTGGTGCAAAATATCCCATGTGTTTTTCTGT